CAGCTCAGCTCGGGCCGGGAATCAAACTGCTGTTGCTCAGAGCTCACACTCTTGAGCGAGCTCTTAACCAACTGAGCCACTCGGCCAGCCCAAAGGAATATTTTAATCGTACATAATCCAATGATTTAGGGGCAAACCACTTTTAAGTTGTTGAATGTGTTTCCTATCTTTCTAAACTAATAGCTTTTGTTATTTTGTGGTTATAAAATACATCTTTATTATAATAATCACAAAAGTATATCTATTCTTTTATAAATTATTTTTCTATGTTAGCAAATGGTATTCGATATCATTTTACAAAGCTGCAGCATTACACATGGAGATATTTTATTATAAGTTACGTAAGCAGTCCACCATGGATTTCCACTGTTTTGCTGTCTTAATCAATGGAACTCTATATTAACTTATTCCCATTTGCTATGGTTTCATTCTAAGAAATAGAATCACTTTGTCAAGGTGGATTGACATTTTTAAGGCTCTTAATGCCCACAGCCAGTTTGCCAGAGCAGTGCTACTGATTTAAGAGACGATGTCTCACAAACCCTGGTTGTCTTTGAGGCCATCTTCTTAATTTCATTGTTGTTCATAAACAACCTTCTTTTAAAGGAGGATCAGGCATTTCCTGTGTTAATTTGTATGTCTGTTTACATATACAGTACACAATCAAAATCGAGAAAAATAAAATGAATTTTTCAAAGGTGTAGAGAATTGAGAACATAAGTGTGAAAGACGCTAATAAAAGAAGCTTCATTAGCTTCCTTTCACAGCCTATATTGGATTTATACCATTTTAGTCTCTTATGACAAAATGATAGTGGAAATTGTGAAATACTTCAAGAAGAAAAATATTTGGCCCTTTTTTTTAAGAAAGAAAATCATTTGTAAATATTTTAGTTGAAAATTTTAAAGAATTAAGGGAACAGCAGTGCCACGTAGAGTCCTCTAATATGTTTGACTATTAAAATGTGTGTGATAGATGTCTTACACCCCCAAAATATTTTATCCTGTTGTGCACAGCAACCTTTATTTGTTAAGATATTTATGCATACTGATGACCAGCTTTCAGTTATCCGGAATGAAATGCAAAGACTTTATACACCTCCATATTTAGTAGAATTTAATTCTTCACTTGTGTGTATGTTGGGGGAAAGGGACAAGGAGGGAGTAAGCTTAACTGTTTGGGAGAAAAGTAATACATTTGGTCTCAAACTGGCAGTACAAATAAATCATGGAAAATACTTGCATGTCAAAAGATTTAAAAAATAATTATAAGGAGTGTTCGTCTATTTTAAGCTTCAAGAGAAAAAAAGTCTAATATTGGAATTGATTGACTAGAAGTTTTGATGGTCTTGTACAGCATTTCATTCAACCACACTGCCTCTCAATTCATGAACTATGTCTAATAAGGAACAATGGGGAGTTAAGTTTAATTTTTGGAAGGTTGGGTTGGGTGGGGATGCCCATGCTGTTCACCACACATGAACAATGAGTTTTACAATAGATACCTGCTACAGATTGTGGGAAAATATATATTTTTTTACCTTAGAAGAGGAAACTTATTTTTTCATAAAGAAGAAATATTAAATTCATTTTCTCTGCTTTTTGATGATGATACAGAGAAAGCTAGAAATAATAGCTCATGGGCTAAAATCCACCAGAAAAAAAAGAAATTTAGGCACATGTGATGCATGGCCATGAGATATGTAGTAAACCCTAGTTATCATTAATTTAATGAACACTATGATATTGTGCAGTTTTGAGCAGTTTTTCTAAGGTTACATCCTTATATTGATACATTAAAAGTCATTCATTCTCATTTTTTAAAAACATCCATAGTATATTAGTTTAGTTCCATTTATTTGTGGCTAAGAGATAACATTGCTATGATGTTAAATTAGTGATAAAAAGGATTTTTAAAAGCTATAATAGAATGGGACATTGCTGGTAATTTTCAGTTTAATCACATGTAATACTTCAGCTATATTCTACAGTTTTCATGAGCTTCAACTGGAAATTGCTCATTAGATCTAGAGACATAGATAATTCTCTATAAAATCAACTTGAAAAAATCTTATTAGGTTTATTTTATTCATTTTACACAATCTTCAAATGGTTACTTTATAATCACTCAAAATATTTTTTTGAAAAATCTTAAAGGAATTAATAACTATTAGTTTCTAATGTTTAAAACAATTTAGATGAGATATTAGAAAAGCAGTTATGGATAATGCACTTTGCATAATTTACATCAATAAGAAATATTCTTGCTCTAAATGATGTTGACATTATTGATTAGAGAAAGGTCCTCTGACTACTCTTTGTTTATGTGATAGATATATTTTTCCTAAATAGGTCCTGCTATGAAAAACAAATAAACCAGCACTATGAAGAAATGCAAATGAAATTTCAAAAGTAGCGTTTAAATAGCTCTCTCACCACTATAATGACATTTTTAACTGAGAGAAGTTCTCAGACTACAAAAGCTAAGAGTCCCATTCTCCTTCTCTTCCCAAGATACCCTCAAATTTTAAAAACTTTTATTTAAAAACATGAGTATTTTTAGTCAACTTGAAGCAAAACATAAATTTGATTTTTAAAGAACATCTTAATGTTCTAAATTTAAATTTATATTCTTACTAACCAAATTCTCTACTGTCCTGTATTATAATTTAAAAATTTGTTACTACACATCTTATTCAGTGACCCTTGGACGTGTCCTTCAATTACAGTGATTTATATACAATTGTACTAAATTTTTATTCATCCCAACATTGATTCATTTATTCTTTTAACTAAATACCTCCTCTATGCCAGGTACTGTTGAAGGCACTGAGGATTAAGTATTTTAAAAATAAGGTCCCTACCAAACAGAACTTACATTTCAGCTGCAGTTAGTACGCTGAAATCTCACTCTAAATGGTTTTCTCCTTAAAGAAGAATTTAATCTAAAGCCAATTCACCTTATGCTCACAAATCCAAAAATTCACATTCTCAGACCATTTAACTTCTAAAAAAAACAGGTTCGGACTATTAACAATAAATACGAGAAATATAGCTGTAAATTGAGCAGCAAGCCAATCATTTCATTTACTGGAGTTTATCAGACCACAGAGCTTGGGGATATTAGGAGAAGCTTCATTACATTGGTACAATCAGCATTTGTATTTAAGTTAGTATCTTAGTTGTACTTGGTATATAAAACTACAATATAACGAAGTATTGGTTAAAAATATCAGGATGCTTAAATACACATAATTCCAGAATTATCATTTATGGTGACCTGTAACTATTCATGCTAATATTATAAGATTTTACAGTATAATAAGTAATTGAAGTGTACTGTGACTAGGCTACACCAAAATATGTTTAATTTCCCTATTATAAATAGTCATTTTACTGTAAAGTACAAGTTTACTTTGCTCCTTTATTGTTCTGATTTTAAAATGTAATTTTTGCACTTTCGGATTGTTACATTTTATTACATTTTGTTTTTGGTGGAAAACGTTCACATTGATTTTCAAGATGATCTGCTTCAGGTTTTGTGTTCTTTTGTGAGTTTGAGGGCCTCTGGCCTGCTGTGTCCTATATAAGCAGAGGGAGACTGAATTTCGTCTCTACAAGGATGTGAATGGATTGATGCTTGTAGCTTAGTGTACAAATCTGTAAATTTGGAGCCAAAATGATCACTGAGGGATGGTTCCTTTATCTGTAAAAGGGGCGAAAATTATTTGCTCCTCTTACACCAAAGTTTTACTATAAGGATTGAATTGGATGATGATATCACTTTGCAAAGATCCACAGTTCTAGAAGCTATAACTGGTAGTATTCCAGTTTTCTGTTACTGTCTGTTCACCAATATTATTATAATTTATGAACATGTATTTAAGGAAAGGATGAGACTCACCAAGATTTGAAATATACACTTAAATTAATTTTTTGTTTACAATGTGCTATTTGCTTATTTTGGATCTGTAAGGAAATGATGAGATTCCCCTAATTACTGGTCACCCATATGAAACAACAGACTGTAGAGGCTTCCCAATGACAGAATGCATAATGAACCCAGTGGGGACAGAAAACCCACTGGGCTTCGGAAGTCATACATCAGACATGACAGAGACACTTTAATGAGAGCCATAAATTACAACTGCTTCTAAACCCAGGACAAACATTTTAGCACATGCTCTGGGGATGACCCCAAGCCCAAGTCATTCCTTGAGTTCTGTGGAGCGTAGTGACAATTGTGGGAAATGAATAAGGAAGAGGACCCCTTTCCTGTAGTAATACAAAATGATTAAGAGGACCTAACAAAATCAATTGACTGATCAATAGTGTGTAACTGCTTGGAGCGTTTTCTCCCCATGCTAATCAGTCATCAAGTTGTTTAAGCGAAATATCTCCAGTGTCTCCAATTACCGAACTGCTTTACAAGACATGGTCAAGGATGTCAGAGCCTCCTAGAGCCATATTCCAGAGCAGTTGTCATTGGAGAAAGGTGGAAATAATTTATAAAAGATCCTCTCTCACTGCAGGTTAAGAAGGCTGTTGAAAGGGGGGATATGATAGGAGGTGTTCTCATAGTTTCCAGACATTGGTGGATTAGTGTGTTACTCCCAAGCTCTAAAGATGTATATTTGTTCTAGAATATAGGTGGGGACTTGATTCAAGTCGAGAGTGATGGCGGTCCAAATAACTATAGAAAACATTTATACACTACATATGTACAGGCCTTTAAAATATTTTTTTAACTCAGCCATGGTGAACAGCATGCATCAAACAAGACTCTGAATTCAAACCAACCGAACGTATTCTAACAACACCTATGAAGGGACATAGTATTGCCTACCTGTATATTGCCAGCGATTCTAGTATCAAAACCACATGTCAACTTTTCTTTCTTTTTTTTAAGTTGAATGCCACTGTGGGGGAAAAACAGCACTAAGAAATAACTTTCAACAGGGGGGAGAACTATTTTATTGATATGTTTTACTTTGCTGGCAGACCAGAGCAAAGGTTTTGTGAACATTTAAAAGATGAAAAAGGTGAAGAATCCCAGAAGCGGTTTATCTTGAAGCGAGATAACTCTAGTATTGATAAAGAAGACAATCAGGTTGGTTCTCAAGTTTGAGAGTGGCTGACGTTGTTTTTGAAGGTGGGCTGACTGATGTTCTTGTTGTCCCTCTTGTCGTCCCTTTCTCCCTCTCCCAGCTCCCCACTTTCTGCCTCTGATGCTACCATCCTCTCTCTGACCTCCTCGCCCGCCTTGCCTTCCCTGTGGCATTCAATGGGCAGCAAAACAATCCGTGTCCTGGTCGCTTTAGCAATGGCTCTGTGTTGGGCTGCATGGGTGGTGCTTGGCGCAGTTCCTGCTGCATGTGTTGGGGGTGGGGGGCTGGGGTGCCACAGGCTATGAGCTGTTGGGAAAAGCTTTGTCAGTCGCATTTCTAGATGTCTGTGTAACTATGGCAGTCGTTCCACTCCCTACAGCTTTGTCCTTCAGTTGTGCACACATTGAGCTGGATTATCAAAACGGACCGATGATCAACTGGTGTAGCTGTAAAGAACAAACCTTGTTATGGTGAGGACAGGTGGATTTTGCAACTCTCCTAAAATAAATCTTCACAGAAAAGACTCAAGTCCATGGTTGAGTCTCCCGACCCTTCTCCTTCCCATGTTTTATCGTCCGTGTAAATTGTCTGCTTGTTTTGCATGAACCGTCGCAGGTCTTTCTCTTGATGTGTATTTCACTTGCGGTAAAACATTATGTTGTTCTAGAGTAGCCTGGTTCATGGCTTCCACACGGGTAGAGATACTTCACTCAATTTCTTCTTCAGCTGGGGGTGGGGGTTCCTGGGCGATTAGGAAGAAAACTAAGTAAATGGCAAAAGAAAACAAATTTTCAATGAGAATGAGAACAGTAGAAAGTCATACAAAGGCCATTACAATTACACTTTGTGTCTCTGACAATCAAATAGACTTTTTTGAAAATGACTTTGCTTTCGCATTCATAAGGGCAAAATAATAAGGATCTCACTCAAGTTATTATTTTAATTATTCTCAGTGAGTCACTTTAAGCCGGTCTGTGCATCTCTGATGCACTTTTTTTTGTTTTGAACCTGTTCATCATTTGTATCTTGTTGCCTCCCACCATCACCGACAGCACCACCGAGCTACACCGTGACTCGCATTGACTCTGAAACATGTGCCTGTGTCGTGTACTTAGTGGGTGTTTGTTGAATGGATGGATGAACGTGGTTAGGGCAGAGCGTTTGGTCACGAATGGCAGGGTAAAATAGGAGGGTAGCCGAGATGCAGGACGTGGTTCCGATGAAAGAATGAGGAGCAGTCCTCATGCTGGGTTCTTTGAATTGTTACCTTAGATTTCTGAATGTTGACCCTGATCAACAAATAGACTTTAAATTTATTGCCTGCTTTCTATGCCAGATGCAATTCTCAGAATCAGCCATTGAGTGAATTCAAAAATTAGGAGGCACAGAAGTAGTGCCCGCATCTTTCTTTCCACCCATTACTTTCTTGGCTCCCTTCTTCTGTTTCTGCAGTCCCCAAGTTCTCAAAGCCATTTCTTTCCTTAGCCACCTTAATCTAGTTACTTCCTCTTTTTGCACCAACATTCTTCTTCTTTCTGAGGAGTCAACATCACACAGATTAGCAAAGGAGAGAGGCCATCCCTGGTGACCTGTCACACAGCTGAACTGGGCGAACCCCTCAGGCACACCCAGGTTTTTCATTCTAGAAACGCCTGTATTACTTGCATACAGCCAGGTGGCAACCAGGAGCAGTAAACATGGCATTGCTTGTCATGCACACACGGCACACGTGTCCCCTACCATGGCTTCCTTAGGGACCAGAGGGAGTGAGACTTTTTGTGCTCCATTTGTTTAAGTGAACATTTATTATTCTCAGCTGACAGTTGCTTAACCGCAGATTTCTAACGGCTCAACTTGGATAACCCTCCTGATTTCTTTTTTCTGTTCAGCAAAACAGAATGCATCCATTTAGAGATGAAAGACGAAGTAAATCAATTGAAGAGAGAGAAGAGGAGTATCAGAGAGTGAGGGAGAGAATATTTGCACACGATGTGAGTAGTTGTTTTAATTGCCTCTTTAGTGCGGTCCTTCCATCAGCAGTAAGGCAGCCTCATTCCCCAGACAGTGAGCTGGCAGGGACCGAGGAAGCTGGAGCCAGGGAACAAAGAGAACTGCAGCAAACTAGAGGTGTTTCTGGAAGAGGACCTGGTTCAGGGAAGTGCTGGAAAAGCAGCCAGGGGTTTGCGTGTGTTCCTAGGGTGTGACCTGTGTGGGAAGAGAGGTATCATTTTGGTCAGCTAAATAGACCTTAAGTACAGAGATTTGAGGAAATGTCTTCACATACCTGTTAGCCAGCAGGTGCCACATTGTTGTCTTCTTAATACCAACACTTTGCACAGGAAGGACAAGAAACCAAAGAAGAATCTGTTGATCACACACACAGAACTTTCTCTGTTCATAACAAGTATGGGCATTTTATTATATCAAACTTAAGTAATACTACTCATTTTGCCCCTCAATTTCAGACCAAATTAGTTCTGTGAACAGTTTTCAAGGGAATAATGATAATACAATTTCTTTTGTTTAAATTGCAACAAATAAAATGTGGTTGGGATTTTTTTTTTATCCTTTTACCCAGTGTGGTAAAAATAACATGCAATTAAATTAAATCAAGATTAAAAGATGAAAAAAAAAGATGGCCTTAAATGCAAGAAAATGAACAGAGCAAGCTATCGCCGTAGCTTTTCCATTCCAAGAAATTATTTGGCAGCCTCCTAAAATGTGGGTTCTTCCATCTGCAGACATAAAGTTGTGAGCCACTTTGTGTGGGCTCTCTGTGACCAACACTTCCGTCCTCAGTCAGGTGGGACATCCGACCTCCTGTGGTGATTTGCTCCCAGGGACTATTGCAGAGCCAGCCTAGAGACCTAGGCTTCAGTGTTTATGGAGGAGAACCACTGTCCTTAGAGATTTCAAACTCAGGCAGGTTTCCCTGATCCTCCAGCAGGTGCTGGGTCCTTTAATACGAAGCTGCAGAGGAAGCAACGCTCTGTACTTCTTCCATTTAACACAGGTTTCAGTTATCTCTTCTAGACCCTCTTTGCCTTTCTTGGAAACATTAAAATCAAGTTTTAGTGATTGGATAATCTGGCCCCGAACTCTGGAATCAGGAGAGTAGGAGAGAGGGCGATGGAGGTAGCCATAGTTGGATGGTGTTCGAGTACAATTCTAGAAGGTCCTGCACATGTGGGAACCACTTAGATTTTTATTATGGTCAGGATTGTTGATGATGCAGCCTGACACACATAGACCTTTAGTTGTGTTTGCTGCATACAAGGATGAAGTAATGAGAGGATCTCTGCCAGTCACGGTATCGTAAGGATGCCTCCTGTGGACGGCAGGTAGCATATTCCTGGTCTGATGACCTTCACAAGAGAAACTTTACTGAAGGCCAGTTCATTGTTTATTCTCTCTCTGTCTGTCTCACGCAAACACACAAACAAATTACCTGGCAAGCCATGTAATTTTTGAATGAGTTGGTATCTTCAAAAGCAATTACTAATGACCCTGATAATGCACAAAAAGACAACATTTTACTCCCCCTGCCCCAAAGTTGTGACACATTGCCAGACATTCAAGAGCTAGGTGACAGAAGTAACATCACTGATGCCCGCGAGTGGGGAGGACACCTGTACGGCTGTACTTTGTGGATTCTCATGGCTGCAGAGAGGTCATTCCAGGGAGAAAGGGTCTGCACGACTTCCTTTATACGTTGTATTTCCCTGTGACCTGATTAAGGAGATTAACAGTAAGGGACCTCGGTTCCAGGTTAAACATGGGAGGCAAGTGCTGTTTAAAGCCTCTCGGGCTACACGCCATATATATATATATATATATATATATATATATATATATATATATATATATATATATATATATATATATATGTAAAAGCAGACTTAAATCTGCGAAAGCTTCAATGCCAAGCAATTGCCATAGCCTACCCAACCTATGAAATCATTTGGCAGCCTCCTTTAAACTGCTGTGTCTTCTACTCTCTGCAGGAGCAGAGGTGCGAGCTCCTTTGAAAGGCTCTTTGGTGGCCAGCATACCCAGCTTCACTAATTCCATTGGGGCCCCGGCCTCTTTAAGTTACTACTTTTCACCTGATCTTCTAAGGAAGGGATTTTTCTTTTCTTTTTTTTTTAATTTTTTTGTGAAATAAACATTTTTAAAAAAATTAGTTTCAGCTGTACAACACAGTGCAATAGTTATACTTTTTACCCCTCAAAGTGACAACCCCCTCCCCCATATCATACATATCTATTACAATTCCCTTGACTCCACTCCCACATTATACTCCACATCCCGTG